TCTGTTATTACTTGAAACCACTTAAATCCTATTTTTATACTTAATGAAATCACCTTTGTTTACTAATTAACCCAGAGTAAGTGATTAATACCTGGGGGAGCAAACAGCTGTGCATATGTCTCTATTAGTGTTACAGAGGGCAGACAATTTATGAGTTTATCCTGTATAAACTTTATACAGAGTAAAACAGATTTATTTGGGGTTTGGATCCCATTGGTAGCTGGATGTCTGGGTGCTGGAGACAGGAGCACTTCTTAATCCGTTTTCAGTTAAGTCTGCAGCTTTGGGGTCGTGGTTCAGATCCTGGGTCTGTGTTGCAGGAGGGTAGCGTGTCTGGCTCAAGAAGGCAGGGTTCTGGAGGCCCAAACTGGCAGAGAAAACGGGCTCAGAGGTAGTCTCAGCACATCAGGAAACAATCCCAAGGGGGGTCTCCGTGACTGAACCCATCACAGTGGCGTAGTCAGCGGGATCTGTGCAAAGCTGATTGCTTTGAGATACTGGTATTAATTTTAAGTGAGTTTTGAGTGTGGTGGCTGGAGAACAAAGAAAGTGGTTACTGGTTTATTATTTTCTATTTGTTTATTTCTTTTAAGTGAAATAAGCACAAAAAAGCAGGAAAATGACTACCAGTGAGCCAGCTACAAAACTAGAGCTGGCCAGAATGGAAGTGGAAGAGAAGGCAAAGGCCTGCGAGTTTCAAATGAGGCTAAAAAGAAGCAGAGACAGCCAGGGAGGAAGCTGCTCACAAAAGAACAATGGACTTAAAAGACAAAGAAATTGAGGCACAGAAAGCTGCCCAGGAGTAGAAGGAAAGGGAGAGGCAACATGCTCAGGAGGAGAAGGTACGAGAGAGGCAGCTAGCCCTGGAGTTAAAAGACAGAGAAATAGAGGCCCAAATTGAGACCCAGAACCATGAACTGGCTGTAATAGAGTGGAAGAGACAGAACCCTTCAACAGCTGGCTATGCTTCCCCCAAAATCCACAAATGGGAACAATTCTGGCCGCAGGATGATGGATCCAGTGATATTGCTGAATATTTTATCACCTTTTAGAGACTGTGCACTCTCCATGCAATTCCTGAAGATCAAAAATGACTACTTGAGTAGTATAAGGGCCCTACCGTCAATCAAACCCTAACCCCGCCCCTTGACACATTAAGCCCCGCCCCTTGACCCCTTGGTTCCGCTCATCTGTCACCGGAAGTCCCACCCCATGTGGGTATTACTTTCTGGGTCAAGGTGCCACCTGACCGGAAGCAAGGTGTATCACGTGACCCCTCTAAGAACTTCCCCCACCACCATCTACCAATCAGGAGGGGTTTTGTGCCGAAAGGACCGCCCCAAGAGGGGATTTTTACCAATCAGGGTGACTTCCAGGTTGGGGTGACCCCTCCAGAAGTGAGTAGTGTGACCCCACTAAGAACTCCTCCCAAGGGCCTCCGCCAATCAGAGTGCAGCACCATTACCCTATAAGTCCCAGCACCAGACGGAGGAGGCAGCCATCTCTTACCAAGGACACGTGTTTTCAAAATCGCAAAAAGGCTGCCGAGAGGAATCATGGACTCCTTCACCAGCCACGTGAGAACTTCGGACTTTGTTTTAGGCCCGACCACCTTTGGACTTGTGTGGAGAAAGCGCTACATCACTAACGGTTCCGAGGAGGACCCTTTGACCCAGACGTTGATGGATATGTCGGAACCCGATCCCGAAACCCTCATGAGGCAGCCCGATGAGCGTGACAGCTTCTCTTTGTCCACCCCTTCAGAGGTGGAAGGCGATCGCAGCTCGGGGGAGGCACCGGTGGACAAAGCGAATGGAAAAGACGGAGCTCAGGTAAAATGAATGATTAAGAAGCGGCGGTCGAGGAGGGGTGGGTAATGGGGTAGGAACTGGGGGTTGTGTAAATTAAAAAAACAAACAATGGGGGGGCTTAC